GATCCCGTCACGGGTCGGCCCACGGTGCGAAGGCATTGCTTTCCCTTGCGCCTTCCCTTGCGTGCAGACCCTATTGCGGCAATCGCGTGGGTGATTTGTCCAAGAGATCACCCGAACTCTCCTTACTCTCTTTCTTGACTGCGAAAAAACTGAATGTTTTATTTCAATTCGTAGCTCCTTAAATAGGAGATTAGAAGAGAACTCCTTGTTGGATTCGGCTAGGTTAGGGTAATCCAACTTAAACTAAAACTCCTAATTACCTACTCTTAATGGTAACACAACTCCTACTTAAGAAGATAAAATAAGACAAGGATAAGGGATAGGATAAGATAGGGTATAGGGATCAGATAAGGATAAGGTAAGCTGGCGGCGAGTTGGCTTGACGTGTCCAGATAAGGGTGGGCCCACCCCTATGAGCTATCGTGTGGGCCCTGCTCTGTTGCTACTGTCGGGTGCGTGCGTGCGGCTCATGGTGCCGCTGCCGTGCGGTGCGTGCGCGTAGTGCTGCTGCCGCACAGTGCGTGCGCGCGACTCATGGTGCCGCTGCCATGCGGTGTCGGGCGTCTGCGTGCTGCTGCCTGGCGGTGCGTGTTGCACGCTATCAGTGGTGCGTGCTGCTGTGCGGTGCTGCCAGGCGGTGCCTGCTACTGTGCGGCCTGCCGTGCGTGCTGCTGCCTATGACTGTGCCGCAGTGCGCTGTCGGATGGTGTGACCATAACATTACACCCCTCCCGGACTACGAGCTTGTCCTCAAGCTCGTATTCCGGATACATGGCTTAGGACTCTGCGAATGGATCAAACACCTACACACTATTTCTCAGTCCCCCAACAGTATGAACAACAGGGACTGCTCCGTATCTCAGTGCATAAAGCTGGATTATTTGATGCAAACCCCAGCCACCTTCTTTAGTTTCTAGCTCCCAGGCGTAACCATGGCTTACAGTGACTACACGATCTGCTACACTCAATCCAGCCGCAAGGGCATTGAAGTGTTCCCCGCCTCCTGGGTCATATAGTTTGAAGTAGTTTTGTGGAAGATCTACATAACTAAAATCGCGTACTGGACCGCGGCCCCGGTGTGCTATGTTGTGGATCACGGGAACGCACCGGGTATACTCACAAAGGAGAACCTCAAGAGTAGCCTTATAGAAGGGAACCATGCGTTTAAAAATATCCCCTCGGCCTCCCCCATATATATTTTTCTCAATATTGCAAGACATAGGGCTGTCCATGATCACAAAATCCATGCCATCAATATAAGCTCGAGAGAAAGTTACCTCTATCTCCTGCCCATCCACCTTACATCTCTTGCGCGCTCCTGTTTCTTGGATTTCTGCATAGTTACCATATTGTGGTGCTGCGGCCATAGCTCTATGTCCATGCCGAGCCAAGGCCTTCGGTAAAGCCCCAGCAACATCGCCAAGTCCACCTGTCTTCGGCAAAGGAGCGCATTCTGTAGGTACCAATATAATGTTCGTGGCATTGTCCCCGGCCAAAGGAGGAGACTTTACAGTTTCATCCTCCGTGCGCTGATCCTTGGGAATAACTGTGGCTGTAGGGGCAGCGATCTACTGTTTGCTGGATGCCTCTGTCCAGTTCGGACGACGCCTGTTTGTGTTGGCAATTCCCTCATAACTCCCTTCTTTGTTGGAGAGGAATGCTTCCAGCAGGCGTCGCATCTCCCGGACATCTTCCCTAACTTCATGAACCTCCATGCTGGTTTCTGCTAGCCTATGTTCCAGTTCGTTGACGTTTGGCTCTGATACCAATTTGTTATGGTCCCGCGCGTAGGATCCCGTCACGGGTCGGCCCACGGTGCGAAGGCACTGCTTTCCCTTGCGCCTTCCCTTGCGTGCAAACCCTATTGCGGCAATCGTGTGGGTGATTTGTCCAAGAGATCACCCGAACTCTCCTTACTCTCTTTTTTTACGAAAAAACTGAATGTTTTATTTCAATTCGTAGCTCCTTAAATAGGAGATTACAGAAGAGAACTCCTTGTTGGATTCGGCTAGGCTAGGGTAATCCAACTTAAACTAAAACTCCTAATTACCTACTCCTAATGGTAACACAACTTCTACTTAAGAAGATAAAATAAGACAAGGATAAGGGTAGGGATAAGGTAAGCTGGCGGCAAGTTGGCTTGACGTGTCCAGATAAGGGTGGGCCCACCCCTATGAGCTGTCGTGTGGGCCCCGCTCTGCTGCTGCTGCCGGGTGCGTGCACGCGGCTCATGGTGTCGTTGCCGTGTGGTGCGTGCA